ATGGATGTCTCCAAGCTGGGCATAAATGTATTGAATTCACGGACCCATCATGCCTTGCGTCAATGGAACAAGCTGTTGGTGGTGATTTAATATGGTGAATGTTTCTTCAGACATCTTTGTGCCGATAGCAGCTCATCGATTAAGCTCTGTTGTTGACCGTGCGTCCCTCTGTGGCCATTTCCAACGGATTCTTCCAGCACCATAAAGTGGCGGCAGCATGAAGCACACATCGCTCTAGACAGTGATAGCATAGAACACAGACCTGTTGGAAGGTCCAGCATTGAAAATTATGCTTACGATTTGACCATTAGCACATTTCAGGCATTCAGGTTACAGAAATTATGCAGCTCAGATCTCAAAATAAATAAAATGATAAGTAAAAAAGTAATGATACTTGGCTAATGCATTTTAAAAGCAAGTGGAAATTATAGTTATATCATAGACCAGGTTAACATTTTCTGCAAAACAGTAAGTTCTGGTCAAGAAAAGTTAAAATAAATATAATTTCTAAACCTTTTGTAGATTATTCTGATAAAAAGTGACAGTAACAACATTTATAATGCTAACAAATATATATATATATATATATATACAGTGGGGCAAAAAAGTATTTAGTCAGCCACCAATTGTGCAAGTTCTCCCACTTAAAAAGATGAGAGAGAAATATATATATATATATATATATATATATATATATTTCAAATAAACAGCTCTTTTGAACTTTCTATTCATCCAACAATCTTGAAAAAAAAGGATCATAGTTTCCACAAATATATGACGCAGCACAACTCTTTTCAACAATGATAATAATCAGAAATGTTTCTGATTAAATCAGCCTACTAGAATGATTTCTGAAGGATCATGTGACACTGAAGACTGGAGTTATGATGCTGAAAATTCAGTTTTTCATATTCAAACCGTTTTACTGTATTTTTATCAAATAAATGCAGCTTTGGTAAGCATAAGAGACGCTACATTTTTGAACTTTCTATTCATCCAACAATCTTGAAAAAAAAGGATCATAGTTTCCACAAATATATGACGCAGCACAACTCTTTTCAACAATGATAATAATCAGAAATGTTTCTGATTAAATCAGCCTACTAGAATGATTTCTGAAGGATCGTGTGACACTGAAGACTGGAGTTATGATGCTGAAAATTCAGTTTTTCATATTTTCATATTCAAACCGTTTTACTGTATTTTTATCAAATAAATGCAGCTTTGGTAAGCATAAGAGATGCTACATTTAAAATCAATCGATCAATAAATAAATAAATTCTTACCTACCCCAAACCTTTGAAGGGCAATTTAAATATATACTGTACGTTTCACCCCAGTGAGACAAAACTATAACACACTCATTACAGACACATGGAGTGTACAGTCATTTCAAACAGCACGGTCTTTCACCTGCAGAGCAAACAAAAAGTCCGGTACGGTACAGATGCACCTGAGTATTCTTCCATATGAAAGGACTGAAAACATACCATGAAACATACAACAAGAATCTCAAGAGGTTCCCAGAGGTTCAATCATGCTACATGATAACACATCAGGCATGTCATGCAAGTCAGAGGTCATGTTTCGTGAATGGCTTTTAAAGCCCATCGTCTGGTCAGTGAAAGCACACAGTCTGTTGTTAAGTGGAATAAATGGTTTTGTAAAAGCCATCCGGACAGATTCCTCTAACATCTGTGTGACATGGACGCATTTCATAACTGATCTCTTTTTTTGTCTCCAACACACACTCACATAGTGCACCACTTCACAACAACACGGTCACAAAACATTTACAGTGGGTATTATAAATCAATGCACACAGCATTTCAGTACAACAACCTGCATCACATTCACAAACCACCCACAATCCAATGTAACCAGTGCTAGTACAGTGTTATACTAGATTTATATTCAGTAATCCTATCCTAACCCTAATATTAATAGATATTTATCCTTGTTTTTTTTTAAATATATATATAGTACTATTTGCCTGTGCAATTAATGTCTGTGCAATTTTTTTTTTTCAGATGTCTGCATATTTTTTTAAGTAATTAATCAAATAATGGAGAAGAGCATTTAATCAGGCATATACGCTATACCATTTAAAAGTTTTAGGTTGAAAATATAATATATATATATATATATATATATATATATATATTACATTAATTATATTATATTATATACTAAAAACTGAAAATATATATTAAAAAAATTCATTCAGAATATTAATACTACAATATTATATAAATAATACTAAAATAACAGTGAAATAGAATTAAGCTGCTGTAAGTGTAGTTTATATTATATTATGTACAGAAAACTGAAAATATAAAAATAAATAAATATTTATATATATATTTTCAGTTTTCTG